TCTACCGCACATAAAACAGTTAAAGACCAAATGCCTGAAGGCACTGGATTTACTAAAAGTAGTTTCAAATTCCAAATGGGGTGGGGATCAGAAGACCCTCCTCCAACTGTACTGATCACTCATTCGATCAAAACTTGATTATGGCTCCATCGTATATGGTGGAGCCTGCAAGAGCAACCTAAAACTTTTAGATTCAGTCCACCACCAAGGTCTAAGATTTTGTCTTGGATCTTTTAGAACTTCTCCTGTTGACAGTCTCTACGTCGAGGCAGATGAGCCATCTCTTACACAACGCCGTATAAAATTATCCCTACAATATATTACAAAACTATACTCTAACGAATCAAACCCTGCATATAACTGCGTCTTCAATCCCATGTACGAGGATTTATACAACAAGAAATCTTCTCTTGTTCCGCCTCTTGGGCTCAGAACTAAACCATTCATTTCTGCTGCTGGCATTCTGCTGGAAAATATATCTCCTTCCCGTCTTCTTTCTTCTCCTCCTTGGCAACTGGTGAGGCCTGAAGTTGACCTAACTCTGACAAAGTTTAAGAAATCTGAAACTAATGAATTACAGTATAAACAAGAATATAATCAATTAAAAATTAAATATAATACATACAAATCCTTATTTACAGATGGGTCCAAGGACGGTGGCGCAGTGGCATGTGCCACTGTCATTGGCTCCAGAACAATATCTTCTAGAATACCGGATAACAGCTCTATATTTACTGCAGAAGCAAACGCCATCTTAACAGCTCTTAAATATATTCAAAGACATCCCAATCATAAACAATATATAATTTTTTCTGACTTTCTTTCTTGCATTCAGGCTTTTAAAAATCTGTTTTGCAAACATCCACTTTTAATTGAAATAATCGAATTATATATAGATCTTGCTACTGGCCAATGCGACATCGTCTTTTGTTGGTTGCCCAGCCACGTTGGTATTTCTGGGAATAGAATGGCCGATCTTGCTGCCAAGGCAGCACTCAACAAATCTGTGACACCACTTCTTATTCCTTACTCTGATTACAAAGCTAGCATAAGAACTTACATCCGTGATCTGATGCAGAAGAAGTGGGACACCCAAGTAGGTATCAATAAGTTACATGAAATAAAACCCTGTATCGGTTGCACTTACTTGGGTTGTCAGTCCAGATTTGAAGAGGTCATTATGCGGCGATGTCGTATTGGCCATACAAGGTATACCCATGAATATTTGCTTAAAGGCGAAGATCCTCCGTTTTGCATCCCTTGTGATGAAAGAATCACAGTCAAGCATGTCTTGCTTGACTGCATCGAGTATTCCATCACAAGGGATAACTATTTCAAAGTAAACACTATGAAGGATCTTTTTAATAATATCAGTGCTCATTTAATTATTGACTTTTTAAAAGAATTAGATTTGTTAAGTGATTTGTAATTAGATATATATTTTATTATTGGTAGTTTGAATTAGTAACTGAGATTGTTAGTGGCTGTACTCTCAAAGGGGGTTGAAGTAGCGTAAAATTATTGTCCTCCTGCGAGGGTACGTAAGTCCCAAAACATTTCAAGTCAGTTTAAGTGTACCAGGTTTATATACTGAGTCAAAAAAGAAACTTCACATTCTTTCTTCAGGGCACTATAAAAGAACAAGAGATGGTAAGATGGTTAAATTGTTATTATTTCATTGCTGAGATCTGTGTGATGTACTCGATACACTGACAGTGCCATAATCAGTTCCATTAGGCTACACCGCCGTTCCAAAACATGGGTATACAGAATGTCAAGTCACAAGAATAAAAATGCGAAATTTCTCAGTTCAATATCGTGTATGGCCGCCCCGCGCATTCACCACTGCCAAACACCGTCTCCTCATCGACTGCCTGATGCTTGTGAACACGTGGTTGGGGATTCTGCGCCATTGCTCTTGCAAGGCAGCGCCAAGTTCCTGCAAATTCTGAGGTTGGTTCCTAAGACCACGAAGCCTTCTCCCAAGTGCATCCCAAACGTGCTCTATTGATTAAGGTCAGGGGACCTCGATGGCCAGTCCATGACGTTGATTCCAGCGTTTTGAAGGAAATTTCGTGTCAACATCGCGGTATGCGGCCGAGCATTATCATGCTGGAACTGTAGACCTGGGCCATGAGCCGCCATGAAAGGAACGAGTTCAGGGGTGAGCACCTGGTCGCGGTAAGCAGCAGCTGTGAGGTTTCCACGGATGACCAGAAGTCGGGAACGGTTGTTCCCACAGAAAGCACCCCACACCATGCAACTTCCGCCCCCGAATCTGTCGACTTCCTGTACACAACATTGGGCATACCGTTCACGACGTCGTCTCCAGACTCTATGCCTGCCGTCCGCGAATCTGAGGGTAAACCTGATTCATCGCTAAAGACGACTCGATTCCAGTCTCTCTGGGTCCATCGGAGGTGACGTTGGGCCCACAGCAGACGTTGACGTTGATGAAACGGCGTCAATATTGGCCCACGATATGGACGTCGAGAATGGAGATTGGCAGCCCGCAACCGATTTCGAATGGTCTGTGAGGACAGTCGACCTCTAAACATCTCAGCCCTGGTTCGTGTAGCCGGCAGAAATCTGTCACGTAGGTGACGTAGGACGATTTGATTTGTCTTCTGCTCGTGACGTCACACGTGGACGACCCGACCTTGGGCGATCAGAAGTGGTGCCAGTTTGTTGTAGACGACCTCGCAAGTCATACACAGTACGACGGCTGCATCCCATTGCTCTTGCGACGTCAATAACTGATCTTCCCGCTTGCAACATGCCAACGGCACGTTCACGTTGCACATTTGACAATCGTGGCATTTCAAGTACCGTTAGAACTGTGGTTTAAAAGTGTTTTTTCAATTTTGAGGCCAATGCAAACACGTGCATATGAAGAAAACTTCGATGCGAAGATCACGTGATCGACTGCACGTGCAAAACCTGATTTGGCACTAACGTCATTTGCACGACGAACGGATGGGTTTGAGGGTTTTGCTAACGTTTTTCTAGAGTCGAAAGATAGGGATCCCATTTCGGATACATAGATGTATCATCAGAGAAAAAATTATTATTCATTATTTTTCAAATTACATTTTGTGAAGTTTCTTTTGACTCCGAGTATATTTTCATTTACTTTTGAAACACACCGAATAACATTTCTGATAGTATTAATTGTGGTAAACATGGAAACTCGATTCAATAAACATGGATCAAAACAGGTAAGAGATATTAATGGACGCTTTCGTTTTGTTAAACACACGTTTGACAACAAATAGAAATTAAACGAATTCCAAATATTCTGCTCAGTGAAACCCCAGACTTATATTATTTTCCTCCAAATCGATTAGGATTGTAACGATTATAGGTCTCTGGGGAGAGAGTGAATGGGGTTGATAGTCACAGTGATGAATATTTACTCTCTCTCTCTCTCTCTCTCTCTCTCTCTCACAAGCATCACACGGTACATCCCAGATATAGTATTGATTCATATCATAGCAAGACAAACGTATTCATAAGGTAAATCCGGATAAACGCACTTCGCCTCGGTTATGATAAACTATTGACAGGTACCATACAATTGCACTTCACACGACCCAAATGCTGAATGTCTGACTCGCATTTTTTTTAATTCAAAATCGCCAAACATGGACATTAGGTTACGGCAAGGTTCATCATGAAGAAATGCTATCCATTACCAGATGCTGGATTACATTTTCCTTTTCCGTAGTAAAACCATGGCGTTTGCTTTCGGATCTGGAATAAAAGATAATCTGATCACAGACTGGAATCCGTAATTCGTAGTGGTTTTGTTAACAAGCAACGACTTGTACCCATCTCTTTATTTGGATATTTTTATCATACAACATGGGAATATCGATCTTGAAAGGTCAGCACAATATGGACACACTCGGCTGTATGCCTGATTTCATAACAATTCTGTGAGAAGACAGGAACTACTCACTTAAAGTCAGAGGGTGATCACAGTAAACCAAACATCTGCACATCATCAAATGAAAATATTGATATCGCTTGGATTGTCGAAAGTCTTATACTATGACAGAAATATGAACATCACTGAAAAAGTTACAGCTTTGCGTGAACAAAATGAACAAATGGTCACTGGAGAATGGAGATAAATTGTCTAAACATAAAACATGAAGTGTTAATGTTTGCAATGATGATCCAGATATTCCCTTCACAGCAGCGACAAAAACATGTGTAGGCATAATCTTTGACCACATTCCTTTCCACTCGACATTAAATATTTGGCAAATAAATGTTGAATATTTTGCAGGTGACATCAAATATTCCGTGGGGTGGAGGTAATAGACCCTGATAAAATTCGGATGAGATACAATTTAGATTCTGGCTGTTTCTTCAATTGTTCAACTCGTAAGCCACAACTTGACTCCATTCACTGTCAAGTTAAAAGTTCATGTGTGCATTCACTTTAACGTTAATATGTAGAAGAAAAAGAAGTTAAGACGAAAATCACTGCCATGGCATTCGTTGACCTAGTCCCAATACCGAGTCATCTGAAACCTTCATTTTGTATATAACACACCCCTCTTTCCTACTTTGACACACTTATACAAAATGCCAACATGTTTCGCATGTCACTTTCAGTCCATCTTTCTTTCTATTGTTAAAACTCTCTTCGAATAACTCCTTTGTTATTGGTGAGTACATTTTGAACAGCTGATGCATGTAACAACTCCTCAGATTTCAATGTGCCATGACACACGGATTAAGTAGGCCTCCTCATCGGTACACTCGATGTACCATTTGCTGATTCTGAATTCAGTCAATTTGTGAAAGACATGTTTAAGAAGCCCCAGGCTGATCGTAAATGAAGGATATGCTGTATTTGCCTGTACATATACATCTTTGGTCACAGAGTTTATTGCAGTTTGGTCATTTTATTGACACTTCAACAAAGGCCACATCAAGAGGTTGTGTTGCAATATCTACCTGGTGTTGATTATGTTTCGAGGTTTTCTTATGCCAGACTTGTCAGAGAAGAAGAACAGCAAGAACTCCATAATCTCTAATACTGTTTAGATGCTGACTATGAGACACCTCTGAAAATGGCCGCATAAATAACACTCCAGTTATATAAACATTTACATCGATGATAGGAATCAAAGTTTTGTTGTCTTCCTGTGTTTGATTCTGTTGCCTGATTTTCTTCCTGCACTTGCCACAGAGGAGGAAGAGCAGGATGACCATCAGGAGCCCGTTCGATAAACATCGTCGTCAACATAAGAAATTATCCTCATTTTATAGCACTGTCACCAGTTGTTAATCCTGTTTCGAGCTTTTCGTCCTCTAAGCTTGTCCACGAAGTACAGAAAGATGAATACCAGGAGCTCCCAGATCTCCGCGACTGTCAGGATGCTGGCCCCGAGACACAATCCCATCTGGCCACCAACATTAGCTGCAACAACAATAGCTCAGTTCACCAACAATGTATTTCTAAAAAAGAGCTAATACTTTATTGTAGCAGTGCTAGTAATAACATATACTTGTACACAGACATATGCTTTTTAAATAAGGGACAACCTATTAATCTTTGTAATCTATTATCCTGACAAGTAAATGATTTAGGGTTTACTGACAGCTTGAAGACTGTTTCCGTTATATCACATATTTATTGCATTTGTGTCATGTTAGAGTGAGCGAGTTTCGTTTTACGCCCCCTTTAGCAATATTACAGCAATATCACGGCAGGGGGACACCAGAAATGGACTTCACACATTGTACCCGTGTGGGGAATTTCATGTTAGAAAGTAAAATGAACACAGCATGTAGACGTTTATCACCCAGATGATCCCGGTTGCTAAGGGACGTAACTCTAAGAAGCCTTCAGACAAGTTTTATATTCAAACAAGTTTTATATTGACAACAGTCCCGTAATGTAAGTACTATTCCAGTTATATGACGGTTGTCCGTAATGACCGTGTGTGGACCAGACAAGCCAGTGAGCATGGACCCTCGCAACTTGAGTGAGTGAGTGAGTGAGTGAGTTTAGTTTTACGCCGCACTCAGCAATATTCCATCTTTATGGCGGCGGTCTGTAAATAATCCACTCTGGACCAGACAATCCAGTGATCAACAGCATGAGCATCGATCTGCGCATTTGGTCTTCGCAACTTGGATAAGATGACATGCATCAATTAAATAAGCGAGTCTGACCACAAGATCCCGTTAGTTGCCTCTTAGGACTAGCATGACTTTCCAAAGACCAATTCCAACTAGAGTCTTCACGAAGTGTTATGAAGTTGTGTACTAACAGAAGAGAGTGGCTTGAGTGTACTGAGGATGCTGTTTTGTTGATGTCACCATCATCTTGTCGTAGAACACTCTCAGCTCCAAGTAGTTATTCCTGAAGTAAAGGATAAAACTAACTTTATTTAACTAAATATACATATATAATTCCCAAAATAGTATATTGAGGTGATCATTAATGAACTATTTCCGAACACTGCTGTACGGACCAGCAATAATTAAATATGAGTCAATATTGCTGTGAGAGCACTTTTACACGAATCCCCGTATTTGTGTATGAATCTCAAATAATCCGGCAGATATTTCCGTACTACCTATACACCTTAAATACTACTGTATGAAAAGATATCATATATCATTCTCAAATATCGTTATTCCAAACATTCTTTCTCAGACATTACACATTAATTGACACTGTGAATTTCGCCTCCCCTCGCATATAAACAAAACTAATTCGTAGACCCCCCCCCCCCAATAATGAGTAAAAACTTAACTGTCTCACTATGACGTATATGAGTGAGTGAGTTTAGTTTTACGCCGCACTCAGCAATATTCCAGCTATATGGCGTCATCTGTACATAATGGACCAGACAATCCAGTGATCAACAGCATGAGCATCGATCCGCGCAATTGGGAACCGATGACATGTGGTCAATTGTTTGTGGATGGGCAAATGAAATTAGAACTGCACGAATACTGACAGAGGAATTCTGGTGTGATGGGGTGATCGAAAATCGGACAAGGTACGATGGTAGACTACTGACACAAACAGAGCTTACCTGAAGTATTCGGAACTCTCCGACTGAGTGCTGTTGTTCAGCAGTTCGGCCCAGATGTCTGCTGGGTACCCGCTGGACGACACTTGCGCACTGAACGTCTCAAAGGTGCATTGGGTGCTACATTTACACTCCTCCTCGAATGTGGTGTTCTTGCCCATTTCACCTATAAATACAAGGTTTCCATAGACACCGACAAAGAGTATTTCCACAGATAGTGACATGCAGTATTTCCACAGATAGTGGCATGCAGTATTTCTACAGATAGTGACATGCAGTATCTCTACAGATAGTGGCATGCAGTAGTTCTACAGATTGTGACATGCAGTATTTCTACAGATAGTGACATGCAGTATTTCTACAGAAAGTGACATGCAATATTTCTACAGATAGTGACATGCAGTATTTCTACAGACAGTGACATGCAGTATTTCTACAAATAGTGACATGCAGCATTTCTACAGATAGTGACATGCAATATTTCTACAGACAGTGACATGCAGTATTTCTACAGATAGTGACATGCAGTATTTCTTCAGATTGTGACATGCAGTAGTTCTACAAATAGTGACATGCAGTATTTCTACAGATAGTGACATGCAGTAGTTCTACAGACAGTAACATACAGTAGTTCTACAGACAGTGACATGCAGTATTTCTACAGACAGTGACATGCAGTATTTCTACAGACAGTAACATGCAGTAGTTCTACAGACAGTGACATGCAGTATTTCTACAGACAGTGACATGCAGTAGTTCTACAGATAGTGACATGCAGTATTTCTACAGACAGTAACATGCAGTAGTTCTACAGACAGTAACATGCAGTATTTCTACAGACAGTGACATGCAGTATTTCTTCAGATTGTGACAATAAGTAGTTCTACAGACAGTAACATGCAGTATTTCTACAGACAGTGACATGCAGTATTTCTTCAGATTGTGACAATAAGCAGTTCTACAGACAGTGACATGCAGTAGTTCTACAGACAGTGACATGAAGTAGTTCTACAGATAGTGACATGCAGTAGTTCTCCAGATAGTGACATGCAGTATTTCTACAGATTGTGACATGCAGTATTTCCACAGATAGTGACATGAAATATTTCTGCAGATAGTGACATGCAATATTTCTGCAGATAGTGACATGAAATATTTCTGCAGATAGTGACATGCAATATTTCTACAGATAGTGACATGCAGTATTTCTACAGATAGTGACATGCAGTAGTTCTACAGATAGTGACATGCAGTAGTTCTACAGATAGTGACATGCAGTATTTCTACAGATTGTGACATGCAGTATTTCCACAGATAGTGACATGAAATATTTCTGCAGATAGTGACATGCAATATTTCTACAGATAGTGACATGCGGTATTTCTACAGATAGTGACATGCAGTATTTCTACAGATAGTGACATGCAATATTTCTACAGATAGTGACATGCAGTATTTCTACAGATAGTGACATGCAGTATTTCTTCAGATTGTGACATGCAGTAGTTCTACAAATAGTGACATGCAGTATTTCTACAGATAGTGACATGCAGTAGTTCTACAGACAGTAACATACAGTAGTTCTACAGACAGTGACATGCAGTATTTCTACAGACAGTGACATACAGTATTTCTACAGACAGTAACATGCAGTAGTTCTACAGACAGTGACATGCAGTATTTCTACAGACAGTGACATGCAGTAGTTCTACAGATAGTGACATGCAGTATTTCTACAGACAGTAACATGCAGTAGTTCTACAGACAGTAACATGCAGTATTTCTACAGACAGTGACATGCAGTATTTCTTCAGATTGTGACAATAGTGTAGTTTTACTACAGACAGTAACATGCAGTATTTCTACAGACAGTGACATGCAGTATTTCTTCAGATTGTGACAATAAAGCAGTTCTACAGACAGTGACATGCAGTAGTTCTACAGACAGTGACATGAAGTAGTTCTACAGATAGTGACATGCAGTAGTTCTCCAGATAGTGACATGCAGTATTTCTACAGATTGTGACATGCAGTATTTCCACAGATAGTGACATGAAATATTTCTGCAGATAGTGACATGCAATATTTCTGCAGATAGTGACATGAAATATTTCTGCAGATAGTGACATGCAATATTTCTACAGATAGTGACATGCAGTATTTCTACAGATAGTGACATGCAGTAGTTCTACAGATAGTGACATGCAGTAGTTCTACAGATAGTGACATGCAGTATTTCTACAGATTGTGACATGCAGTATTTCCACAGATAGTGACATGAAATATTTCTGCAGATAGTGACATGCAATATTTCTACAGATAGTGACATGCGGTATTTCTACAGATAGTGACATGCAGTATTTCTCCAGATAGTGACATGCAGTATTTCTACAGATAGTGACATGCAGTAGTTCTACAGATAGTGACATGCAGTATTTCTACAGATAGTGACATGCAGTAGTTCTACAGATAGTGACATGCAGTATTTCTACAGATAGTGACATGCAATATTTCTACAGATAGTGGCATGCAGTAGTTCTCCAGATAGTGACATGCAGTATTTCTACAGATAGTGACATGCAGTATTTCTACAGATAGTGACATATTTCTACAGATAGTGACATGCAATATTTCTACAGATAGTGACATGTAGTATCTCTACAGATAGTGACATTTTCCCAGATAGTGACATGCAGTGATTACACAGATATTGGCAAACAATGATTACACAAATAGTGATATACAGTCAATACACAGATAGTGACATGCAGTATTTCCACAGATAGCGACATACACATACAGTATTTCCACAGATAGTGGCATACAGTGATTACACAGATAGTGATATACAGTCATTACATGCTGCACATGCATGAAACTGAGCATGTCTTCTCATAGGCCCTCTGTTTATTAAATTTAAATGTATTTTTCATCTCATACCTCAACCAGCAAGTGTTTGGTCGGGTTAATAAAACAAAGAAAGAAAACCTGAAAAATATTTTCAGTAATTGTGTCACTTCAAGTTTAAATTTTATAACTTCAATCACTTGGTAATAACCGTCAAAATAATTTATGAGAAGATCGAATGATTCAGAAACATTTTTAATAAACGCAGATAACTAAAGATCAAACTGACCTGAGCGTTTTAGTGTTCAAGGGTAAGAGTATTTGTTTGTATCGCCCAAGTGTATAATTACCACAGTAGCTTGGATAATTGTGATGAGAAACTGTGTACTATGTCACGTCGGAATGAACGTTCAGGGCGGGCTGGTGAAGGGAAACAGGGACAAACGATACTGGCAGCCTTAGAACAATCATTAGTTGCTGAGAATCTGTTCCCACCTGGAATCACAACACTGGTTACTTCTAGTATTACAATAACTGGGCGTATGATACTCACGAATAGATATCGAATAACAGGTGTCCTGCTTCTCCAGGGAGCATATTGGGACATCGGGTCCTGTTGATCCTAGTGGCAATTAAGTGCATTTATATTACACATAATTACGGTAAATGCCTCGTTATTTATGCATCATAGACAGCATGTGACTGGCGACACACATTGACATGAAAGTACACATTTTTGGAATCGGTGGTTCGGCGACAGCAAGATGAAATTCAAAGTAACGAGAAAATAATTCCACAAATTACGAGAATAATAACGGAAGTAACGAGAAAAAAATCATCATTTCGAGAACATAATTGAAGTAACGAGAATGGTTCGGTGAAAAGATAGTTAATGCTATAAAAGGAGTACCATTAAGCTTGTCCGAATGGCACCGCCCGCCACAATTTCATGGAAGGGAATTCAATCGGACATTATCTTGGTAACTGGTGTGTCAAATTTGGAAATGACTTCCATATGTCTTCCATCAACCTTTTGAATGCATTACTGAGGCCTTGGATGTTGTAACTCTTTGAGAAAGAGCGACATTGTGCTCTTTAATACCTTTAAAGAGAGCGTGCTCGATTGTACTGAAGCTAATTTCTAGTGTCCCGCCGTAATAACTCTCTGAATATTGCTAAAACTATCTTTATTTCGGACACAGGAAAAAAGATATTACCCTCGAGCTCGGTGCATGTGTTTTCAGTATTTTTCGCCTAACATGACTTATTTATTTAAACCTGATCAAATAATTCGTCCGAATTGTTCAAGTGTTTTCATTGTTTGCGAAATGACGTCATATGAAGGCATTGTCGCAAATAATGGAAATGTCCATGACGTCACAAAGTAATTTTTGTCAGATCTTTAAGAAATGCAACACATTTTCTCACATTTTCTATTTGAAAAGTAACACTTTGTCTATATATATATATATGTGTGTGTGTGTGTGTACACGTAAAATATAAAAGATGAATAACTCATTCAGTAAATTGAATGGAGTGTTTAAATTGTGCCTGTGGTGGAGGTACCGTGCTGGCCGCATGGAACTCTGGGTAGGAGAGTGCCGTGAAACGTCATCAAGGTACCACCTGTAGCTACACGCCTCTTTCCGTGGCCAACAAGAAGGCTCGTAACTGTACACACAGGCAAACTGTAGCGGAAATAGGATTGCGCAACAAAGAGAAAATGACCAGTCTTCCTATATGCGAGAGCAGCGAGCAAAGGTTGGCAACGTACTTCCATCGCTTCGGTTCGAAAAATATTTTTAATATCAAAATAAAATATCGCCACCATCAAATGTAGACACCAATATCCTCACAGGGTTGTGCTCTCAGATTTCCAACCTCATATTTAATAATTACTCACGTAAAACATATTTCATTCAACACTTTAAGCGCCACTCGTGCCATATCAAACCGTCCTTCGCCTCCATTACCCCTGCCAGCTTCAACGGAGTGAAGGAACAAGAATAAGCAGAAATTCAAGAGAAATATCATATTGCCTAATTTTACCATTAAACTGATTGGAGATTAGTTTTCTTTTCTGTCGTCGTTATTGTTAGAATTTTCGTAATATTTATTCTACAAAAATCACTTCTGGCGTAGTGGGCGAATGAAGCAGGGGAGGTAACTCCGCAAGTATTCCCCATATGGGGGACATGTGATTCAACAAGTATGTTAATATTTAAGTCCCCTGTTCCTTCACTCCGTTGAACCGGAAGCTGGCAGGGGTAATGGAGGCGAAGAACTATTTGATGTGGCACGAGTGGCGATCGTGGCAAACCAATCAAATCACGGGTAGTAAAACGCATTTCGAAGCATGAAAATGGCGGCACCGTCGAACTATGAAACTTCGCTAAGCTATGCAAAGCCGAATTTAATCCTAAACTTTGAGCTAAAGAATCAGCAATTTTCAACATTAAACATCTTTACGCCTGGAATGACTGTATAGCTGCTTTGCCCACCGGATATGGGATATTCTTGGAGTAGCCATGTTTGGAAATTCAGGGTTATCTTTCCTTGGAAATAGTACTAGACTATTTCTATCTCCGTCCCCGTTTGCGCTTAGACAAGTCCCAGTCGTGAATATGGCCACGAGAAGGGTACGAGACGCCATCCGGCTTAACGAGTAGTTACGAATATAACTTACGTGGATCAGAAGGTCCGACACATCCACACAGGTTAAAGACTTTGGTCTGGATACACTCCATGAAGCAATGGTCGTAGGTGTAAGGGGAGTAGTACTTGAGAGGATTCACAAAGTCGGGACTATTTGTGTCCACACAGTCCATTTCATCAAAAGCCATGTAGGGATCGGGCAGGTACACGTACTGCAAAACAAGGACCATTAAGCTGACTTGCTGAAGCTTCGCTGTAAAAAGTATGTTTATACGATGACATTTAGTGAATGTATGTTGTTTACACGTTGCTGTCAGTAACATTCCTGGCACCCCATTGAGTGGACCCATGTGACAATGAACCCGTTGCTGTCGGTTCTTACACCAAGCAGCCGTGAACATCCGGGTTAGAATTGGTCTTCAGCAACCCATGCTTGTCGTAAGAGGCGACTAACGGGATCGGGTGGTCAGGCTTGCTGATTTGGTTCACACGTGTCATCGTATCCAAGTTTCGTAGATCACTGGATTTTCGGGTCCAGATATGATTGTTATTTATAAACCGCTGTCTTATTGCTGGACAATTGCAGCGTTAAACAACAAACATACTCACCTCATTCAGTACTGCGCTGAGACATACACACCCTACTTGCTCAACCCGTTTTCTACAGTTTATTCATACCTATTCCATCATGTACAAATGTATATGACAAAATTTACAATTGCCTGAATGGTACCTACCCTAACGTCTAACGGTCGACTAATATAGGATTGATATGATGCTAAATGACGGAATTGGTGACTGAATTTGTCCAGAAGCCAGATCCCCAAAATGGTGAAAATGTGGTGCAGTTCTGGCGACCGAATTTTTTCACTATCAGGAATAATTTAGCTTTGTTTGAAAGCTGTTTATCATCAGCTACCGTGCGTGAGATACCGTGCAGGGGCCCATTTAAGGTGCAACATATCATTTCAATTATGTTAATATTTTAACCGATAACTGGATGGTTTAATTTAATAAATTTGGATTGACCGATTTTCATCAAAATAGTAGCTTTGCAATGCTCGGATCATGATTTAAACTTGTGGACAATAATACTATACATGCTAATGGCAAAAATATTTTGGTCAGGTAAAAGGTCAATTTTAATAGAAAGTGCATTTGATGAGAAACCATTTGAGTCAAGCTTTAGAAATTAAATTTAGGTTTTTCTAATTCAGCTATATCATTGAAAGGTCATATATACGTTTGGTTAGTATTGTATGCATGAAAAACCATTACAAGGAAACGAAAGTTTGTACACTGTATTCAGCTCAGCAACATACTACATAATGTCTAATCAACAGTAACAGCTCCATACTTTACATAGTCACAGAGGACTGACTGACTGACTGAGTTTGGTTTTACGCCGCTTTAAGCAATATTCCAGCTACATCACGGCGGGGGACACCAGAAATGGGCTTCACACATTGTACCCATGTGGGGATTCGAACCCGGGTCTTCGGCGTGACGTAGTCACAGAGGAAGATTTGATGAAGATCTATTACCACAGAAACGTACTGCTTAAAATACAAAACATTGAGTGCCTACATTTATGGACAACCTTACGATATTCCTAGATAATATATATTTAAACATTTTGCTCATACGATAACGTTCATAAAAATATGCAGGCCTCAGTTTTAGTAATATCTAATGACAGCACAAAAGAGTTACACATAACATGGTCATGACACTGTTAGCAACTGTCTTCGCAAGTGGGATACGATGGCATGCATCAAACAAGTAAGTGAGAACGACCACCCGATCACCATAGTTCCCTCTTACGACAACAAGGGTTACTGAAGATCAATTTTGACCCAGATTGTTTTATGGATCCAACATATTTGTGAACCTGTGAGAATTTGTAATGAATATATGCATAGTCAGTCTCATGATATAGATTGTAGGTCATTCCAAATGCTATTATAGACAACACAATGTATGTCGCCAATATCAACTGGTCTCTGTATAAGTCGTACCTTAGAGAGCCAATTGTCACGTTACATTTTAGTATTATTAGCTATTTAATACACCCACTGAAGTTGGTATACAGATTGGCAAACGAGTTAGATGCTATAAAATTAGATTTTGCACGGGAAACCTTGAAATCGAATATACATATTGGCAGTAGTGGGGGCCCTCGCTTAGATGGATACTAAAAGACCAACTGTCGTTCATTTCCCGATTTCAGTATGTCGCATGACTAGGTTGTCCTTCAAGCAGAAGGTTAATGAATTGCCAATAGTTATCGCATAATGGATTTGGCTCATGAATCGCTAGCTTCATCAGCTGATGAACGTCAACAATACAAAGCAAGTCCTAAAATATTGACAGCAGTGGGTAACCTCGCCTAGATGGACGCTAAAAGACCAGCTGTCGTTTTTGTACCGATTTCAGTATGTCACGTGATTATGTTGTCAATCAAGCAGAAAGTTAATGTATTGACAATTGTTAGCGCATAATTGGCTCACGCGAACCACTACCTTCGTCAGCTTATGAAAGTCAACAATACAACGTCAGTCCGATAATATCGACAGACCTCACACAGATGAACACTACAAAGTCGGCTGTAGTCAACTGCATTGTTCCAACAGACATTATGAAGCCACCAGATGTGATCAGCTGAACGTGTTTGAAATGAAGGAAATCTTCTGCTTGGCAAGATCTATCTATATATTTCCAAAATACGAATTCTTATATTTTTATAAATGCATTTCCCTCCTCGTAAGAACAACATTCGGTCAGTATCGCTGGCACCTTAGACATGCCAGTAGTCTGTCTCATACTCCAAACTTTCCGCCCAACCCTTTCTGCAATGCAATAGTCCAAAATAAAGAAAGTCCATATCCCCACTGGTTCTGAATCAACGAGCTCACTCGGTCTAATTCAGTATAAACAGAGTTACCTATTGCTATAAAAAATTCCTATTTTCAGAGACTTACGCTTTGTATAACGTGCCAGGATCCTGTTATTAAGGATCGAAACATGTCCCGGATGCGTATTGTTTTTTTTCAAGACCATACCTATATTTCTGAATTTCTCCCACATTAGGCAAATGTTGTTAGATTTAATATTCAACTAGCACGAAGTGCAGCCTTTTTATTGCATTTGTTTGGGTTTTGTGAGTGTGTTTCTTTGTTTGTTTCTTGTTGCATTTGTCTGGGTTGGGTCTTTTTCAAAATGAAATCAATCTATGCATGATAAATTGATTATTTTCTCACTACGACAGAAGTAGCGAGTGAAGTGACCCAAGTCCTGTTTAAAATTTAGTACCGTAAGCTCCCAGGTTTTTCTGGTGACTTGATTTTCCGTGTGTTTATACCGGGTACTAAAGGTAGGGCAAAATGTGCTGACCTTTTCCGCAAACACACTTCAAATGAAGATGGGTGTCTTCTTGATACATTGTTCTCCCTATTGGCGAAACGCCACACAACAACATCCTAATCACTATATTTAAATTTTTTATGATGTTTGCATTGTAAACTGATCAAGATGTATTTGTGATATTGAATATCTGCTTGATTTTATGGAATATGGACTGCCTAATCCATATACATTGTACGATGTGCCTCTTTAGTAGCATGATTATATCCTCCGATTAAGTTTGGGGTAGTGGAACTAGAGAACAGATGAGAGGTATCTGTTCAAGGAGTTAATGCTTTGATAAATCTCCAGACCTCTAGATAACCTGCAGCCTTGCTTGCAATACTAACTCAATACATTTGAAAACATGCATACCTCAAAGAACTTTGAAAAGTATAACAACACAAGTACCTGTGAGTAATGCAGCTTTAAACCGGTTTCGATCACAAGTACATTTACAGATAATTTGTTATTGATGGAATGCAGGAATCGTGAATAAAGAACTACATTGTATAATGCACCACTGCGAAACATGTCCCAAATTAATAGTAATGTTGTCGTCAGTTAACACCCATAAGACGAGTATATTGATGTCGACTTCTTGTTGATTGTATATCACAACGTTTCTGAGCTACTTCAAATCACCTGAAGAAGGGGCAAGAAGTATCCCAGAAACGTTGTGATATGCAATAAACAAGAAGTTGTCATCCATATACTCGTCTTATATATTCACCAACTTCTAAATGCCTCTAAAGCATATCGGTTGACACCCAATAAACCAGAAGAGAGTAATAACATATTGCATAACCTAAACAACTATCATGCCCCAATGTTAATGACAATATTTAAGCCTGTAACATATGTAGCTCTTTTCTCCCATTCACATTTGTCTAAAGAACTGACGATGGGTTGACGCGAAGTGATTAAGCTGTTGACCTAATGGAAACATGTCCGCTTGTGTAACATTGTTTTGCTTAGCTAGGACCTCATCGGGCCCTAGTGCACGGAAAAGAATCGGAAATTACACCACCTATTACAATCAAAAGAAATGTATTGGTCATACTTTATTATTAAACATTTCAGAGGTATATGAAGGGTGTGTATAGTTGATTGATACCATTAAGCCTTTCTAATCATTGCGTAATATCATTTAAAATGTATTAATGATTGCCGGGGTAAAATGAATTAACCAAAGTCGTAATATTTCACACTGTAAACACTAAAAAGTGTGCACACCAGAATAACATAATGCCTCCTACAAACCTTCCATTAGGATGTCATATTAATATCAATCAGCTCTAAGGGTTTTGTAGCATGTCAGTGCAGTGCAGTGCAGTGCAGCTGGAGCGTGAAGTGACACAAATATAAACAATATTGACATATCAAAACTTATCTCCTTTTGACATCAGCTGAATTGTTGTTTGTGCCAGAATGTCAATAAACGGAAATTTGTATGGTAGTCCAACATTTGTGGTATTGTTGATACTTTGTAAAGCATGGAGGTGAAATTATTTTATATTTTGGTGATCTAAATACAAAGTACCAACTTTAATTTCCTCGTAATGGTGTTTCATGTATACAGTGCCAACCAAACGTATATATGATCTTGAAATGATATAGATGAATTAGAAAAACATAATATTAGTAAAACTACCTTTAATTTGTAAAGTTTAACTCATATGTTCCTCATCAAATGCAAAACAGACCTTTGACCTTGCCAAAATTTAAATGATATGTTGCACCTTAAAAGGGCGCCTGTACGGTAGTCAAGTACTGTAGCTGATGACAAATGGCTTTAAATCAAAGCTAAATCATCGCTGATTGTGAAAAATCACATCCCATACGGTCGCCAGAACTGAACCACATTTTCACCATTTTGTGGTCAAGCTTCTACATCAAATCAGTTACTGTGATATGTACATCTGGGAGAACACATGCATTATACACACCCCCAACTTCTACGGCTAAATAAATGTGCACATTTCCTTTGACGTTTGTACTGTAAGTATTGCTAAGTGCAGTTATCTGCCTTTGGCGGAAAAAATTGTACTTGGATATGCGGTGACAGGAATCAATGACATTCGAGGACATGTTAAGTTATTCCTAATCCCAGAGTAACAATATCCCCAGAAACAGCAATACTTATTGACCTCGGACTTGTGCATCGCAACATAGGTGGAAAACCCTGGAGCAGCCATGACCACGGTGGGATTAGCGTCAGGGTGGTGCCTTGAATTGTGGAGCAGCACCTGGAAGTATAGATTGTCAATATGTTGCAGTATGTCAACGCACGATAGTATCTCAGCACCTAGAAACACATGGCAGGGTGTAAATAAATTGCAGCACATCAGTATCTCAGTACTTAAAAACACGTGAATGTGCCTGCACGTGGAGTATTGCCAAAACATGACAATATATCAAAAGCAGTTTGAGACTGTTAGCATAAGAGACTGGGCTTTTAAAAGTTGACTGCTGTAGTGCATTTGCTATAAGTAGTTGTGACACTAATCCTATGTACATCGTCACGGGATTACCCCATTTCTGATTACTTCATCTACACGACACGCGAATGATGAAGTCATGTAGGGTGAGCTAGCCATCTTGCATTAGACACGAAGTTTGTCTCCAACTCTCTCGTTGTGTTATAGTGCACAGGGTGTAAGGACCACCCCACACTAGGTACATTACAACTGCAAATGATTTTAGACCACTGAGAACGCAAAAAATTCTCTGGCAGAAGTCTGTAAGGGCTGTTTTCATATTTAGTATTCATAAACACCTATAGCCATAGTCTTCGTTATATGAATGGATCACTGAAAAGAACCAGGTGTTCGCAAAAAGACGAAAAGCATGTCCTATGAACTCTCGCAATCCACACAATGTGCATAAAAAGGTGTTTCTGTTATTTCCTGATGCCGCACAGGTACACAGTGACCATTGGAGAATCAAACCCGGTCCGTCGGTGTAACACGTGAACCATTTATCCACTACCCCACCGCCTTAACGCGCCGCTGAACGGTTATGCAATATGTACACTTAGTGAGTAATGGTGTGTACAAATACAGGTGCAACGTGTTTATCAGTGTCTGTCTACAGTCGGTAAGTAACAATTTCAAAGGAATGTTTAACATAGCCCAAACTAAATCTACTCCAAACGGGTTCATTTAGTGTGTTACTAGTGGCAGAACTTTACGTGTTTGTAACTCATTTCACTCGTTAAACATACGCCTAAAACAACCCTGGAACATTCTTTTATTCCCTGTTGAATATGATAACAAAGGCTTCCAACATGACCCTGGTTCCCTAGCATTTACAAATAACAGCGTCACCCGCTTGCATGCCCCATTGCTGATAGTGCATGTTGCTCGGGCGGTTACATTCCATTAACGGCTTTATTTTGTCCGCATTTTTAAACAGGCTTCCTGATATGGATTGTCCTTGTACTGGAAATCTCAATACATTAATCAGTTGCATTAATGGTACCTTCAGTCTCCATAATGATGCTATAGTGTCAAACTCGTTATTCATATGGTGTCCGTGTGCGCTTCAGATTACCATGCATTAGAAAGCAGGGCATGCTTTCAATACCTTACTTGATGTACTGTCCACTGGCGACGTCTGAAACGGTCTCAGATATCAGGGATTTGTGTGGAGTTTAACACCGTGAAAAGACGAGTGATATCCGATACATTAGAACAAGGGAAAACCTTTTCAATTGTTATGGTAGTTTTAGTGAAGGTCATGCTTACTCTTTCAGCGACCACCGGGTGTCATGGCCGATTTTCAGTATCCATTCAAATATGTACACAAGGTTTAAGAAGGGTTTTCTGCTCTGATTCGTAGGATAATCCAGGTTATTTTCTGGCGTTGACATTTTATATTTACATTGGTGACAATCGTTACTGGTTTGCTTGACATGTTACAATATAGCTAGACACACGGATAATTAATATCAGCCTATATCATTATCAGTGATACACCGTCATGTAGGAGGTCTACTATCAGTGACACACTGTCATGTAGAAGCCTAGCATCAGTGATACACCGTCATGTAGGAAGTCTACCAACAGTGATAAACCGTCATGTAGAAGTCTACCATCAGTGATACACCGTCATGTAGGAAGTCTACCATCAGTGATACACCGTCAGGAAGTCTTCCATCAGTGACGCACTGTCATACCATGTAGGAAGTCTACCATCGGTGATACACCGTCATGTAGAAGCCTACCATCAGTGATACACCGTCATGTAGGAGTCTGCCATCCATCAGTGATACACCGTCATGTCTACCATCAGGAAGTCTACCATCAGTGACACACTGTCATGTAGAAGCCAGCATCAGTGATACACCGTCATGTAGGAAGTCTACCATCACGTGATAAACATGTAGGAAGTCTACAGTGATACACTGTCATGTAGGAAGTCTCAGTGATACACCATCAGTGATACCATCAGTCATGTAGAAGCCTAGCATCAGTGATACACCGTCATGTAGGAAGTCTACCATCAGTGACCAACAGTCAGATAACCGTCACCGTCATGTAAGGAAGTCTACCATCAGTGATACACTGTCATGTAGAAGCCTAGCATCAGTGATACACCGTCATGTAGGAAGGACCATCAGTGATACTACCAACAGTGATAAACCGTCATGTAGGAAGCTCTACCATCAGTGATACACCGTCATGTAGGAAGTCTACCATCAGTGACACACTGTCATGTAGAAGCCTAGCATCAGTGATACACCGTCATGTAGGAAGTCTACCAACAGTGACACACTGTCATGTAGGAAGTCTTCCATCAGTGATACACTGTCATGTAGAAGCCTAGCATCAGTGATACACCGTCATGTAGGAAGTCTAGCATCAGTGATACACCGTCATGTAGGAAGTCTACCATCAGTGACACACTGTACACACTGGCATGTAGGAAGTCTACCATCAGTGATACACTGTCATGTAGAAGCCTAGCATCAGTGATACACTGTCATGTAGAAGCCTAGCATCAGTGATACACCGTCATGTAGGAAGTCTACCATCAGTGAAACACTGTCATGTAGGAAGTCTACCATCAGTGATACACTGTCATGTAGGAAGTCTACCATCAGTGATACACTGTCATGTAGAAGCCTAGCATCAGTGATACACCGTCATGTAGGAAGTCTACCATCAGTGATACACTGTCATGTAGGAAGTCTACCATCAGTGATACACTGTCATGTAGAAGCCTAGCATCAGTGATACACCGTCATGTAGGAAGTCTACCATCAGTGATACAGTGTCATGTAGGAAGTCTACCATCAGTGACACTGTCATGTAGAAGCCTAGCATCAGTGATACACCGTCATGTAGGAAGTCTACCATCAGTGATAAACCGTCATGTAGGAAGTCTACCATCAGTGACACACTGTCATGTAGAAGCCTAGCATCAGTGATACACCGTCATGTAGGAAGTCTACCATCAGTGATACACTGTCATGTAGAAGCCTAGCAGCATCAGTGATACACCGTCATGTAGGAAGTCTACCATCAGTGATAAACCGTCATGTAGGAAGTCTACCATCAGTGACACACTGTCATGTAGAAGCCTAGCATCAGTGATACACCGTCATGTAGGAAGTCTACCATCAGTGATAAACCGTCATGTAGAAGCCTAGCATCAGTGATACACCGTCATGTAGGAAGTCTACCATCAGTGATAAACCGTCATGTAGGAAGTCTACCATCAGTGACACACTGTCATGTAGAAGCCTAGCATCAGTGATACACTGTCATGTAGGAAGTCTACCATCAGTGATAAACCGTCATGTAGAAGCCTAGCATCAGTGATACACCGTCATGTAGGAAGTCTACCATCAGTGATAAACCGTCATGTAGGAAGTCTACCATCAGTGATACACCGTCATGTAGGAAGTCTACCATCAGTGACACACACCGTCACCGTCATGTAGAAGCCCATCAGTGACACACTGTCATGATAGCATCAGTGATACACCGTCATGTAGGAAGTCTATCCAGAAGCCTAGCATCAGTGATACACACGTCATGTATGTAGAAGCCTAGCATCAGTGATCTACCATCAGTGACACACTGTCATGTAGGAAGCCTAGCATCAGGTCATGTAGGAAGTCCATACCAAGTCTACCATCAGTGAAACACTGTCATGTAGGAAGTCTACCATCAGTGACACACTGTCATGTAGGAAGTCTACCATCAGTGATACACTGTCAGGTAGAAGCCTAGCATCAGTGATACACCGTCATGTAGGAAGTCTACCATCAGTGACACACTGTCATGTAGGAAGTCTACCATCAGTGATACACTGTCATGTAGAAGCCTAGCATCAGTGATACACCGTCATGTAGGAAGTCTACCATCAGTGATACACTGTCATGTAGGAAGTCTACCATCAGTGACACACTGTCATGTAGAAGCCTAGCATCAGTGATACACCGTCATGTAGGAAGTCTACCATCAGTGATACACCGTCATGTAGGAAGTCTACCATCAGTGATGTAGGAAGTCTACCATCAGTGATACACTGTCATGTAGAATCCTAGCATCAGTGATACACCATCATGTAGGAAGTCTACCATCAGTGATAAACCGTCCTGTAGGAAGTCTAGCATCAGTGACACACTGTCATGTAGAAGCCTAGCATCAGTGATACACTGTCATGTAGGAAGTCTACCATCAGTGATAAACCGTCATGTAGAAGCCTAGCATTAGTGATACACCGTCATGTAGGAAGTCTACCAACAGTGATACACCGTCATGTAGGAAGTCTACCATCAGTGATACACTGTCATGTAGAAGCCTAGCATCAGTGATACACCGTCATGTAGGAAGTCTACCATCAGTGATACACTGTCATGTAGAAGCCTAGCATCAGTGATACACCGTCATGTAGGAAGTCTACCATCAGTGATAAACCGTCATGTAGGAAGTCTACCATCAGTGACACACTGCCATGTAGAAGCCAAGCATCAGTGATACACCGTCATGTAGGAAGTCTACCATCAGTGATACACTGTCATGTAGAAGCCTAGCATCAGTGATACACCGTCATGTAGGAAGTCTACCATCAGTTATACACCCTCATGTAGGGAGCCTTTACCAACAGTGATACAGTGTCATGTAGGGAACCTTTACCAACAGTGATACACTGTCATGTAGGGAGCCTTTACCATCAGTGATACACTGTCATGTAGGGAGCCTTTACCAACAGTGATACAGTGTCATGTAGGGAGCCTTTACCAACAGTGATACAGTTTAATGTAGGAAGCCTTTACCAACAGTGATACAGCGTCATGTAGGAAGCCTTTACCAACCGTGATACAGTGTCATGTAGGAAGCCTTTACCAACAGTGATACAGTGTCATGTAGGGAGCCTTTACCAACAGTGATACACTGTCATGTAGGAAGCCTTTACCTACAGTGATACAGTGTCATGTAGGGAGCCTTTACCAACAGTGATACAGTGTCATGTAGGATGCCTTTACCAACAGTGATACAGTGTCATGTAGGAAACCGTTACCAACAGTGATACAGTGTCATGTAGGAAGCCTTTACCAACAGTGATACAGTGTCATGTAGGGAGCCTTTACCAACAGTGATACAGTGTCATGTAGGAAGCCTTTACCAACAGTGATACAGTGTCATGTAGGAAGCCTTTACCAACAGTGATACAGTGTCATGTAGGAAGCCTTTACCAACAGTGATACAGTGTCATGTAGGAAGCCTTTACCAACAGTGATACACTGTCATGTAGGGAGCCTTTACCAACAGTGATACAGTGTCATGTAGGAAGCCTTTACCAACAGTGATACAGTGTCATGTAGGAAGTCTACCAACAGTGATACAGTGTCATGTAGGAAGCCTTTACCAACAGTGATACAGTGTCATGTAGGAAGCCTTTACCAACAGTGATGCAGTGTCATGTAGGAAGCCTTTACCAACAGTGATACAGTGTCATGTAGGAAGCCTTTACCAACAGTGATACAGTGTCATGTAGGAAGTCTACCAACAGTGATACAGTGTCATGTAGGAAGCCTTTACCAACAGTGATACAGTGTCATGTAGGGAGCCTTTGTCATCAGTGATACACCGTCATGTAGGAAGTCTTCCATCAGTGATACACTGTTATGTAGGAAACCTAGCATCAGTGATACACCGTCAAGTAGGAAGCCTTCACTAACAGTGATACAGTGTCATGTAGGAAGCTATTACCGTGATACGCTTTTATGTAGGAAGCGTAGCAACAGTGAAACACTGTCATTTTATAAGCGTTTGTCAGCAGTAGAACACAGTCGAATAAGATCAGCCTTTATGTGCACCAGTTATGTAGAGTTGCTGCCGATGATGATGATAATGATGATGATGATGATGATGATGATGATGATGATGATGATGATGATGATGATGATGATGATGATGATGAAGAAGATGATAAGGGTAACACTGGTCATGCAATATGCGCATACCTGTCTCACATACTATTTCTATTCGAAAGTACAAATTTGCTGAGTCTAAATATCCCATATGATGTTTCAGACAAAACAAAAACAGACTAAAACGCAAACAGAATCCTACTGGTTCCATCACGATCAGGCGGGTCTCTTGTTTGATCAAGTTTGTTGACGAATGGCTTTAATGGACAATTCGGCTTCACTGTATGCTGCCCTAAGTAAGAGTGTATATTGATAATTCCCTTATGAACCCGTCCCTGAATTACAAAGTCGGACACACTGTAAACATTGTGCTCATTATTTAAACAACCAGTGGGACGAATAACGTTACATAATGCGCATATTGAACGGCTTGAATGTATTTAACTTCACTGCATGTTCGAAGCAAAACAATTCCATGAATGTAGTCAAATGTGTCTGATAAATGAATAATTACTCAACAATGAATTGTTGAAAGGTGTTAAAAAACTATTTTTGTTTACTTTCTTTCAGAAGCGGGACACATATATTTGTTTGGGGGCGAAATTGGGTCTAAATGAAGCTTTCTCACTGACAGATATTATTGAAGCATTTTTTCAAAATCATCTGATGTAACTGATCAGTTCGATGTCAGGACAAAATGTTTGAATAATATTTTAACGACCGTTAATCAACGGAAGTAATCAAATATTATCGGCACATCCACGGTTGATGGGGGTAGCCTAGTGGTTCGTCACGCTGAAGACCCGGGTTCGATTCCCCACATGGTACAATGTGTGAAGCCCATTTTGTGGTGTCCCATTCCGTGATACTGCTGGAATATTGCTAAAAGCGGCGCAAAACTAAACTCACCGTCAGGCGGGGTAGCAATAAGTACCATTTTTTAACGTACTTTGGGATGAGTTGGTCATCGAATCATTGGTACAGACACAACAGGACTCTATTCACTCAGTCACGGATGCATTCTCTCAGTAACAATTTGTTTTTGTTATTTACAGATTCAGATAAATAAAAGCAGTAAAGAATGTTGGGCTGATCCTGGCACAGTCAGGCTGATTGAGATCGTCAGCTCAGGGACCTTGCCCCTTCTACACGCAGCCCAAACAGCGAATGGGACTTCTCCCAGGAAGCGCTTCCCAGTCGAACCATCAAGAACTTTTCGGAGGAAGTGAACACTCTCCAAAGCAACAACCTTCTGCATGTCCCAGAGATGCTGAAGGGATTTGTTCCAAGTGGGGAGCCCCGGTACGCTCCTCATTGAGTGAGTGAGTGAGTGAGTTAGTTAAGTTTTACGCCGCTTTTAGCAATATTCCAGCAATATCACAGAAATGGATTCACACATTTTACCCAGATGGGGAATCGAATCTGGGTTTTCGGCGTGACGAACGAACGCTTTAACCACTAGGCTACCCCACTTTCGCAATAGATCAAGAGGTACCAAACCAGGTACACCAGGAACATAGGGGCATGGTTTGAAGAATGCAAACGTAACATTTCAAAGGCGAGATCCGCATATTTATCATGCTTTTCCTGAATCGTGCCAATCACATTGCTGTCAAACGGGACAGAAAATTCAATAACATAAATAACTCATTTATTATTTTATGAAAAAGGACAAAATCATGTTTGTTCCGGAGTTTTTCGTAGGTTGTAAATGGACTTATTCCAAAGACGTTTACAAGCTTCTTTTTCCATGACATTTTCAGGTTGGTAACATGGATGGACGGTATACCAAAGAGCCATGGCAGCGTGTCGTTTAAGGTACATTTGTATTCTGTTTGTGCCAAGGAAGGACACCCACTGACAATGTGTTGAACAGTCTCAGCGAATTCATTACGCAGTCGACATTTAATAATAATATTCTCTCTAAGAATCACAATTAGGTTATTACGAGTGGAAAACTGTCTAGCTCTGGGCAGCAAAAAGAAAGCCCCCACCAGCCGATTTCATGACAGATGTAAGTCATCAGTCCTACCTTTATCCCGGCCGCCATGTTTTCTCTGAAAGTGTAATACTGCTGGGCAATGTTGTAGTTTATGATTAGGTTGGCACCATTGCCGGAGTTCTTCACGTTGACAATGTCACTTGCGTTGAAGTTGAAGGTATGACAGAGACCCTCGTCGGTGAACACAGGTAGGAAATTGCTTGAACAGTCGATACTCTCTCCTCCGAAATAACACAGATGAAACAACGAAGAGGCATCCATCGACATGTTGGTCCACCAGTCTAACGACAACGGCTGCAGCATAATGCCGTCATCAATATCGTCGAAATTATATACTCCGCTGGACCTTTGTTGTAGGCTTGAGTCACGGAAATATGACTCAAGATCGGGGAAAGACGCAAGACGTGTCTTGTTGAGGGTGCATCTGTTGCAGATGGTGACGGCGGGAAATTCAATGGTGTTCCTGATCTTGTTTGTAACCTTAGTGGCGATAGGGTAGCTGTAGTAATCCCCAATCTCGCTCATCAGGTTGAAGATGAGGAACCCCGTAGCACCACATACAGCCAATGTCCAAAGTATTCTGAATATAGAAACATGGCGAGTTCATTATACATGTAGGGGTGGTGGGGTAGTCTAATGGTTAAAGCGTTCGCTCGTCACGGCGAAGACGAACATGGGTACAATGTGTGAAGCCCATTTCTGGTGTCCCCTGCCGTGATATCGCTGGAAAATTGCTAAAAGCGGCGTAAAACTAAACTCATTCACTCATTATACATGGCGTTTTCTCCCGTAACACCTAACATAAGAGCATCACCCGCGTCCACCAACTACAGAGGGTTTACGAAGGTTGTCTGGTTTATCAGTCAGTGATCATAGCCTCTTGCCCGTGAAGATGCACTTTAGAACTGTGGTCTTCAGCAACCCATGCTGATGGTCAGAAGGGATCGGGTGGTCAGGCTCGCTGACTTGGTTGACACATGTCAACACCTCAGACTCTTAAGACAAGTATGGGTTGACGGAGAACAGTTCCAGTCCTGTTCTTCACGGGTTAGAGGTAATGATGCCAAATCTATAAAAGCGTTTGCTCGTCATATCGAGGGCCACCTACCTCGAATATTCAATCCGTCCATCAACCAGTCTTCCATGTGATATGCAATAAGAGTTATCACAAACTTCACAGGATTAGAATTGGGAGATACCAGAATTTTACCGAATTGAATCAAGACGTATTTCGTCAAGAAGGATGATTTTGTTCATGCACAAGGTCAAGGGCGCTCTTTACGGTAGCCACAAATATAAATTAATGCTTGACGCTGCATCAGATATCAATATTTTATTCATTAGGAATGACATGGCCTTTCTGGAAAGACGTATCTTTATTGGATTCAGTCTAATAAATATGTGTAAACTATCGGGGTGGATTAAGATCCGTTGTACAAAGCCATCTTAACGTTGTTATCATAAGTATATTTAAAAAGAAGCATGTTAGTGCAGACACCGCTTTGCGAAACTGGGTCCGGTCCTGGAAGAGTTGGTTCAGCAATATGAGTTGCTGCTTAACAACAGAGGAAGAACACGTGCTACGTTTCACCAAATACACCCGACGACATAAATATACTAGGCGTCGTTAATAAAGGGTCAAATGATATATAGCACATGTAAAGAAAAGTTTCTAAAGAAATGAGTGTCATCATAATGTTTAATGTGTTTACAAACGTGACACATTGTGACATACACACAAACAGCACCAGCAAACATCAACCAACCCCTCAAATGACAAACATGAAGCACTCAGTCATTCGATATCTTGTGTACCCTCCTCAATCGTCCAATCTTGACACAGGTGCACCTTGTTCTCATGCTCCTTATCAAGTTCATAAAGAAAGCTTGCGGAATCGCATTCCATTCCTCTACTAGATCTCTGTGGAGTCCTGGGAGATCCACTGGTGCTGGGTGACGTGTGTACACATGTCGACCGAGTTCATCCTAGGCATGCTCAATTGGGTTGAGGTCTGGCGAGCATGCCAGTCGTCTTGCAGTAAAGAGAGTTGACAGTAAAAGCCATAGATAGCATGAAATCTCTACCACAGTCTACCAATATCACTCTGACTCACATAAAAGCGGACAGCAACCTGCCGCTGAGTTTGACCAGATTCCAAAAGGCCTGTAGCATGATCCCTTTCAGCAAGTGTCAAAAAACGTCTCATCTTAAGCTGCGATTTCAAACAGGTAACTGAACAGGGAACGACAGGCGAAAAAGCATCAATGCATGTGTATTGTCCTCCACTTTCCATGGATAGAGTGATTTGCACGTGCAAATCATTGACATTAAGTGGCAGATGGATTTCCATATTGACAATTTGAATAAATAAAGTGCCATTTGTAACAGAATGTATCGGACGTCAAAGAACGTAATAATGACATTTCAACGGCCTGATGTGTTTTTCCATACTTTTAAGAATGTTTGTAAAACATTCAGTTGTATATATTTCAAACAAAAACGAAGATTTTGCAACTTTTAAGAAATAGTGTTACCAATACCTTGACCCTTCATTAATGACGCCGAGTACATATGTGACTTCAGGTCTGGTACCTACCCTCGAAAGGTGAATCGACAAGTAGGTGTGGAGATCTTGTTGAATCCATGAATCGCGGTTGTTTGACAAAACTCCGTCCACAGGTCGCACAGTGTGTAGTTCGGAGGAGCAGCTTCCGCACCATTTGTCTCCGTTCCAGTCATCCCGTCTCCGCCCTTCGGCCTGCAAGCAGACGACAATATGGACGTCATTGTTTGGAGAATTAAAATTGAATGTTTGTCTCCTGGGGTCAAGGGATTTCTGTAAAGATTGTAAGCGAATGCTGTATAGCGCAATATTGATGAATTGCGTTCTTGTGTGAACAATCCCTAGATTAGATCAATAAATTCAGTTGATTTCTTTATTGCACGAAAGGTTATAGGCTCATATTAAACGTTGACAAAGGGAATATTTAAAGAAGACAAATCCAATACCAGTACTGCTCAATTTTAATTCGTTATAACCGTAGTGTATTGACTGGAGATAGAAACAAATCATATTTAAAGAAATAGATGCGTCTAAACTAAAAAATGGTGACTTGTCAGTTGCATGAATGTTTTATTTCATTACTTTTTAGTGTTTCCTAGTTTCTAAAGCCGAGGTGAGGTGAGGTGAAATTGGATTTAGCGTCGTGCTTGAGAATATTTTGCTCATATGACGAGGTGCATGTGTGTGTGTGTGTGTATGTGCGGATGCTTGTACTAGCCCAGACTTAAGCTGGTTTTATAGTGCTAGCCCACTGAGATACCATGCCGCAGTGAAGCATGGCTACCCCACTCAGACACATTATACTGACTCCATTAATGCCGAGCGCCAGGCAGGGACCAACAAGTACCATATTTTAACGTCTTTTGGTATGACGCGGTCGGGGATCGAACTCGCGACCTTCCGCTCTCCGGGCGGACGCTCTAACCACTACACCATGGAGGCGGCCTGTAAAGCCGAGACGCCGGATGACTATGCCCACGTGGTATTAGTTCTGGCTGTTTGTTTTGTTTGTTGTTTAACGCCGCGCTCATCAACATTCAGCTATATTGCAGCGCTCTGTAAATAATTTAGTCCAGTGATCAACAGCATGTGCATCGATCTACGCAACTGAGCTACGATTACAAAGAAACTAACAAACAATCACATCAAATCAAAAAGTAAAAATGATATTCCCGTTTACTACACATAAGTGAGAGATCTATGGCGGAGGTCAGTAAATAATCGAGTTCGTACAAGACAATCCAGTGATCAACAGCATGAACATCGACCTACGCAGTTTGGATACGTTGACAGAAAAACAGACAAAGCATCACAGTAAATTAAAATGTTCAAAAGATGTGCTCCGTAAACTGCACATAAGTGAGCGAAGGGGCGAAGGAGAGACTAGGTTAATTTTGCTGTTCACGGTGTCTCCGTATTTCCAAGACCAGCTCGCTCACCAGTTTTAAACCCTATTCAACACATGTGAGATCATCTACCACAGAACTGTCAACCACTGGAACCCGCACGATAGATTCCCAATGACGTTATGAGGCGGCTGATGACGTCAATGTGGTTGCGTGATCGGGCAGGTTTTGCTACTCGTGGTGGTCACACTCACTGCAGAGAAAGTATGGTATCTGTCAGCCAACTCAGACTGAACGAGACAGTTACTGCTTCATTCTCATAATTACTGAATAGTGTGTTCCTTATGTCGTGGGGCGATGGGTAACCTAGTGGTTAAAGCGTCTGCTCTTCACGCTGAAGACCCGGGTTCGATTCCTCACATGAGTACAATTTCTGGTGTCATCCGCCGTGATATTGCTGGAATATTGCTAAATGCGGTGTAAGCCCATTCTCACTCCTTTTGACGATACAAGCAGATGCCTGTCGAAACTCATTTGATATGATGCATGCAAAGAGTGAGTGAGTTGAGTTTTACCCCGCACTCAGCAATATTCGAGCTATATTGCGGCGGTCTGTAAATAATTGAGTCTTGACCAGACAATCCAGTCATCAACAGCATGAGCATCGATCTGCGCAATTGGGAACCGATGACATGTGTCATCCAAGACAGCGAGCCTGACCACCCGATCCCGTTAGTCGCCTCTTACGACAAGCATGGGTTGCTGAAGATCAATTCTAACCCGGATCCTCACTGGTTGCATGCAATGTACATCATAATATTGAATAATCCTTTCATAAAGCTACTATCAAACACTGCGTATATGTTTGCCCGCAGTTTAGCTCCAGTTAAATCAATAATTTAATATATCGAACCCATGTGGTGATCAGCAATGATACATGTATGGCGTCACGACTGACATTTCCTGGTCGAGTTCAGAAGATAAATTAGTTGTTAAAAGCAAGCAAAGCTATCCATATTGTCCAGACCATTGACGCACAGTCACATATATCACAGCGTTATTTTGACATTCATCGGGTACTGGTGCCATATGGACCTCCAACGGGGTAAACACTGACACTGAATGTGAGAATTCATATGTGTGGTATTTTAGTGAATGAGCAAATTTTGTATACGAAAGCAGCCCCTGAAAGGTTGATATGCATGTCAATGTCAAGAGCCGTTGGCATGAACCATCCCATCCGCACCGTCGGCGCCAATCGACCTCTGTTACAAACATGAACCATTTTTTCACAATGCACAAACCCTGAACAAAGAACCGATCTAAATGATGACGTCTAAAAAAACAATACCCAACCCATGAAACAACAAATATGCAAATCTCAATGCTGCAATGGTCTTTCGACAGAGCTAACTCGGGTTCCCCAGCGGTATCCAAATTCAGCAGCCTTTGTTCAGATACAATCCCCATTTCAGACACTTTGAGCAAACATTTTATTGATTTGTCCGGCTGAAGAAATACCACAGGGGGATATAAAATGGCTAACTATTATGATGAATCTGTAAAGCTCAGTTTTGTTTCATTAACTGCACTGATTGTTTCGGCAGTGATGCATGGTAGAACATTCATCAGGTATGTGGTTTAAAGGGATTTAACTGCAGTGGTTGTTTGGCTATTGATGTGTGTCAGCGTCATCCTTCTATGTTATGTCAGGCTAGGGCTTTAGGGTTTGGGGCTGTGGGTAGCCTTGTATTTAAAGCGTTCGCTCGTCACGCCGAAGACCTGGGTTCGATTCCCCACATGGGTACAATGCGTGAAGCCCAATTCTGATGTACCCAGCCGTGATATTGCTGGAATATTGCTAAGAGCGGCGTAAAACCAGACTCACTTACTCACTCATCAGTTTTGGTGACTGTGTTCTGCCATAACTGTTTCATGTAAAATCTTTTGATTTCGTTTTTAGATAATATTATGGATATAGGTTTTTCGCGGGGGTGTCGGACCATACACGGCGCACCATTACGTCCCAGATGTGTTCAGTTGGTGGCAAACCAGGGGATCTTGTTGGCCAAGGGCATCTCATAAATATTTTTCTGACAATGATACTTCCGAACAAGGGTGTTCTGGAGTGTTGACATTGATTGTTTTGATGAAAATATCTCTATCAGACAAATAGCGTATCCATGGACTTTAAATCGACGAGCAACGTGAAGGTGCGCGGTATTAGGCTGAAGCTCCCATCTATAAATTGACAAACGTGTCGAACATGTTCCGGTACGATGGATAGAGGTGTTTTTTGTAACTTTTGCACTTCTTTAAGGCACTATATCACACCACACGTCTCTAAAAATAGATAATGTATTTCTCTCAATAATACTACCTATCAGCCCCAAGGAAAGCTAACATATAATTTACTTTTTAAAACAGACGTATTTAGATTACAATATTAAATTATAAAATTCGAATGAATTAATGCAACGTTGCATTGAATTGACTCTCGCGCCCTCTACCGACCGAAAATTATTTCAAGCGAACCCTATAGAGTTATGTCACTTGGAGTACTCTTTTCGAATATCCTGTAACTCAACTTGGGATTGAAACCAGTTTGGCATTGACGACGAGACCGCGTGCGAAAGTTTTCGATGTACGGGAAATTTACATCCCATGAATTGCAAGTGTTTCGAAGCTATTCGCCTCGAAGTTTCAATTATCGATTTCAGGCAAGTCGTAAGGGATAATAAGTCTTTTATTGCATCAATCGAAACAAAAGTGAGTGCATATGCCCCAATATATATACATGTATATTATATACTTAAACAAAAAAAGAGAGTGACTTTTTCTCCAACATGTTTCGTTCTTTACTCTTCAGGAGACAATCTCCTGAAGAGTAAAGAACGAAACATGCTGGAGAAAAAGGCATTCTGTGTTTATTTATCTATGTAATATTTATGACTGAACACCTGTACTATTTTGGACATTTTGTGCGTATATATATAGATAGATAAAGATATATTGATATAGATAGATAAATTATATATCTATAGATAGATAGATAGATAGATAGATAGATAGATAGATAGATAGATAGAAAGTATATATACAGTCAAATCCCGATGAGTCGAATGCCGGTGTCTCGAATATTACGCATAACTGGAAGTACCTGTCGGTCCCGACCATTCCCTGTTATAGTTGTCATCATTTGAATACCGGTTACACGAATTCGACTCATAAATACACACGATGACTCGAGAAGAAAATTTGGTCCCATGAGATTCAAACAACAGCAATCTTGTATACATAAGCCGAAGTCAGTCAATGAGAAGTTGATTGGTGTAGCAAACTGATCCATTAACAAACCAGCGCAGCCAATTGTTACAAATGCGTGACACTGTGCCTTTAAGCCGAAAGACTGCATTGAGAGGTATGGTGAGCGCCTGGTTGTCTGGATGTTTTTCTCGTATCTGTCATGCTTCTTGCACTTTTCGTTTCCAAATTAAACTGCTTGGTTGAGTTTCTTCGACCACTTTAGCACAGTCTTTCTCCGTTTACCAATGCAAACATGAACTATATTTGATTTTTGCGAACACCTGGTGTTATCAATGAAAATCATAAACGCACGCTGATGATATAGTCGGAGTCATAACGCAAGAGATTCCTTTTGAATTTCGTCTTTAATCTCCAATTACTCGACTTCCATTACTCCGTTTTGTTGCCATTATTATCCATATCTTTCTATTTTAAAATGCTACCAAACTCTTTTTTCACAATCAATTCAATATTCATTATTGTATGAATTGTTACATTTGAAAACATTGGTATTTTCATTTCCATACTGCATCACGCTTTTCTTTAAGACCGACTACTATCGTCTCAGGAACAGCGCAAATTGAATCGGATGACGCTTTAACCTAAAAAAATAGTTTATCGAATATTTGGCATTACTGGCAGTAAACAAAATCATTGTTTATTCTTCTTTCGAAATTATTGAAACAATATTCAGCACTGTTATTTTCGCCTCTGATGTTTTGTGTAACTGATCGAAGGTGAGCTTCTAAATAACGTTAGTATGACATTAAACTCACTAATCAATATGTGCTAAATATATGTCAAAATTTTGTGTTACGTGGGTAGATTAACTAAGTGGATGTCATTTTACGCGTATAAACAAATTATGTTTTGTTTCTTGATTCTTCTCCAACTTGTCGATTCCCGTAAGGCAACAATAAAGGTTTGGACAGAAAGAAAGAAAAAATGGTAAAAGAAAAATAAATTCATCAATCCAAATAAACTTTTTAGAAATACAATGTAATGAAAAACATTTCTACGGGCAACTGAAAACAAACAGTGATGGTGAGCATGATAAACACATGGATGCCAGGGAAAGGTTTTGGAAACAGTTGTGGTCTGTACCCGGCGACTAGGTCGTTTATTACATCTCACTCGATTGCCTGAAAAGTGTTATCAAAAAAGTCCAAATCTAACATAGCTCCTGGGCCTGATGGCATTCGAAACCTGTACTGGAAACTATGCCAGTGTGTCCAAACACCATTATTTCACTGCTTCCATTCTCTCACGGACACGGGTGATGTTCCGCCATGGTTCTGCAAAGGTCTCACAATACTCCTTCCCAAAAAGGGGACTTGACTGATCCCCAAAATATGATGTTTGAATACACAATATAAAATCTTCACAGGGTGTTTGACAAACCTCGTGTCATCTTACTGCTCTTCTTAATGTTCTTCTAATTTATAGAGAGCAAAGGGGGGCGAGAAAGGGATGTTGGGGGTGCAAGGATCAACTTCTTGTACAAAAAATGATTTTGGAAGAGGGGAAGGGGGATATTCCAGGGGGATTCCTTTAGTCCTTTGCTTTTTTGTCTGTCTTTAAATCCTTTGAGCTTTCTGCTCAATAAAGAGGAGGGTTACCATCCCGGACCTCCTCAGCACAGATACCCAACACCACTTACTCATCTCCTTTACATGGATGACTTCGAGCTCCTGACCAAAGGAGATACCAATTTGAAAGAGCAGGTTCTCCTTGTGGAGTCATTTCTAATGATACTGGCATGACATTTGACTCAACAAATGTAATACTCTACTACATCTGAAACGCGGCAAGGTAACTAATGACAAACAAGACATCCAGAGCCCTGACCCCCTGACCAGATGGATCATGTCTGATCATGCCCACCACCCTCGTTCCTCTCTTAATCGTGTATGTATGCCAATCAGTTCTGGAGGTCGGGGTTTGATTAATGTGGGTGGAGGCTCTTTATGATAGAGTTATATTGTGGACTTTTGCACATATTTATTTATCGGATGATCCTCTGGTGATGCGTGTCAAGACTCATGATGAAAGTAAGGAATTCCACAGCTATTTTAAGCGTGCCAAGGTTGTTGGACAGAACCTGAAATTTGAGACTGATTTTGTTGATGGTGATGTACTACTGGACGGTACAGCGATGGGATTAAACTAGGTGAAGTCATTCACCAAGTCTGCCCAGAGTCGGTCATTTGTGGAGAAGCTTTCTGAGAAGCCATTGCATCGTGTGTACATGCAGTGTGTGGAACAGAATAGCAATCCAACCGACTCCTTCGCCTGGATGAAGTCGGCTGGTCTTAAATGTGAAACTGAGGGCTTCCTTTTTGCTGCCCAGGAGCAGTCACTTCCCACTCGCAATCGCCAAAATGTGATTCTTAAACAAAATATCCATATGAAATGTCGACCTAGCAATGAATTTACAGAGACTGTCCCACACCTTGTCAGTGGATGCCCTTCCTTGGCACAAACAGCATATCTTAAACGACATGATGGCATGGCTCGTTGTTTTTACTACCGTCTCCGACTTGCCTGTGGCTTTGACTCCGAGGTCCATCCATGGTATGAACATGTCCAAGGCGTCATGGAAAATGATGCTTTCAAACTTCTGTGGAATAGGCCCATATATAGCCTGAGAAGAATTCCAGCCAACAAACCTGATCTTGTCCTTTTTGATAAAGTCAATGAATTCATTTATATCATTGAATTTTCTGTCCCTTTTGACAGCAACGTCTCTCTTGGCGCAGATCAGGGAAGTGCTCGGGTTCTCCACCGGCAGCACAGCCCTTCTGACACTCTGGGTAATGCAGAAGGCTGCAGTGTTGGGGAGTCTACATATTCTCCGTTCTTGGTGGGTTCGATTAGGCAGCGTTTCCTGGGAGAAGTCCCATTCGCTGTTTGGGCTGCTTGTAGATGGGGCAAGGGCCCTGAGCTGATGATGAGCCTTACCAGCCTGACTGTGCCAGGATCACCCGAACCTCCTCTGCTGCATTTTCATCTTAATATGTAAAATAGAATAATAATAACAATTCAAAATATAGCGCCTAGTATCCATCTGACAAGTTGCTCACTGGACGCTGTAATCAGAATCTGATTATTATCATTACCCCAGATAACCCAAGCAGCCTGTGAGGCGCTAGAAGGTTAACAGTTACATGACTTATCGGTAGGTACATGAACAAACTGAGAGGAAACTTTGCACAGGAACAGATTGTCTCAGTGGTCGTCAGGACAACGGCAGGCCCACAGTATACGTGTACTATCACACTTGCACTTGCACTTCCACGGACACGGAGAATCATAGTGTACTAAGATGCTCGACGTGTGTTTTATTGGTACGAGCATTTTACGTAAGGAACACGATACAAAAGTTTTGCACTACAATATTATTGTAAGAAAATCCGACCTAAAAGTTTAAATCTAACGTCACATGGGCAATATTTCAGCCATAAAACCATCATTTCTACAATTTTGGTCTTCATGCCATATGCTTTTTAGTTGAAGTTAGTATCTATTTAGTTTATTTTATATTCTCTGAACATTTGGAAGATCATTATCAAAACTCCAGGAAACGTCTTTAGGTGGTAAAGTTTAATATTCACTGTATGTTGATTTTGTACAAAAAAAGTGAAATAAAAAGGTTCAGCCATGTAGTTGCGAAACAAATAGTGAGTGAGTGAGTTGAGTTAGTTTAGTTTTACGCCTCACTCAGCAATATCCCAGCTATATGGCGGCGGTCTGTAAATAATCGAGTCTGTACTAGACAATCCAGTGATCAACAGCATGAGCATCGATCTGCGCAATTGGGAACCTATGACATGTGTCAACCAAGTAAGCGAAACTGACCACCCGATCCCGTTAGTCGCCTCTTACGACAAGCATAGTCGCCTTTTATGGCAAGCATGGGTTGCTGAAGACCTATTCTACCCCGGATCTTCACGGGTCGCGAAACAAATAGTAAAGTATCCAGATCATCAAATATGCGTTGAAACATTCAAACATTTAAAATGATAGATATGAAATAACAAAACAAGACAAAAAGAGGCAAAGTTAGGCCACCATACTAGGGACCGTGGGGACTTGTAACGACACTTTAGAACTGCTTCCTGCACGGTTCTCCAGCTTGATGTGTACAATCCCTTCAGGCGACTGTACGCATTTTGCAATTAAATACGGTAGTAGGTATCTACACTGTATCTCCTCTCGGGGGTTATTACGTCAGGTTGTGAGCATCCGGGATCAGGGTTAGGATTTCAAAAGGTTTTGGAGGTGATGACGTCATTTCCAGATTTGACGTACCAGTTATAAACATGTTGTCCCATGCAATCCCCTATGTGAGTGGAACCCTCTTGGATATTTGTTCGGGTACACAATTGATTTGCCATTGAGTGAGTTTTTTGAGTATCCAAAAGGTGGGGCGAGGTGATCTCGATTTCCTCAAACACACCTGTTATAACTGTTTATGACAGTGATTCATTCTTGAGAGGTTAAACGCGTGCAATCTGGGAGGTATATATCACGATTATAGGCAAGAATATGTCGATTTTGTTAACTGATGAACATGAGAGATACTTTTCATAGTGTCATAAGACACCAAATTCATGTTAATGTTTCTTCCCCTTGTGGCGAAACTATGTTCAACCAACCAATGAATACTTAGTGGACGTACAGTTGAGTCACGCTACATGATTATCTTTGGTTGTTCACGGTACATGAACCTTTTATGATAAGAGAGGCGATAAACACAGACCGGCGAGCTCAGGGACATTTAGAAAATATGATTACATTTCTATCCGAGACTAGTGTAGCAATCCTGACCATTACCGTTCATCCTTATGAACAGCAAGAAAAAGCGACACAAACATTACCTGTGATTTTATGATAAACTCGTTTGTTGATGTGTCGAAGTATCACAAACTCGCATACTTCGATATGATATTTCCGAAAAGGCTTACAAATAGATCGAAATAGTCCCATAAGGATGTTAGAAGGCTGTTTATAAGATAGAAATTGTTAGGTGTGGGTATTGCAGAGAATTTTCATATTGCGATATAGTGCGATGCGGAAGCATATATTGCGATATGTATATCAATATATTGCAAGAATTATTTTTTTAACAAAAACTACTTATAATCGAGTTAATGCTTGATTATAAACCAAAAACACAACAAAATCACTAAGATTGATTAACCTTTAATAAAAACTTGACATGACAAAATAAAAATGTAAGTAACATTTGGCACTAATGAAACAGGGAAAAGAACAATTAAAAAAACGGAAATATCCGAAGATTTCCGAGTGTTACGAAGTTTTCGAATGCATGTCAAAATACCGGTTTTCGATCAGCGTATCGCAATCGTTTTCATGTCTGAACCGGTAAATACCGGTAAACCGGTTATATTGCGCAGCCCTAGAAATTGTGCAGAAACGCCGGTGATTCAAGGCACCCAGATGATATTCCATGAGTAACAAGTGTGATTACAGATAAAGTAACCGAAATTCACCTATTTTATATATACATGGCAATAAACAAAGTTAATCGTGTTATGTCTAATGACCCATCTTGTTCTTGCGGCGCTATTTGTGAAGATAATTTACATTATTTCTTTATATGTCCAAATTATGACAACTCAATAAATGATATGCTTTTTTATAGAAATGGAAACAACCTCAAATCAGTGCTATATGGAAACATTGAAACATCAGAAATTGAAATTTGCAAATTGTTAAATTTGTCCATTGTTTTATTGAAAAATCTGGTTGATTTAAGATTTAAGAAGTAATGTACTGAAATGCAATGTAATGTACAGCTAAACTGACCGGCAAAAGAAAGTATACCAAACTTTTAAAGAAATATTTTGGTAAGTAAATTATACATTGAAACATGTCGCCCCAGCGTAGCAATTTGATACCTGCAGTGAAATTCACGTGCACGTCGTGAATAAAACGTCGAAGTGTTCAATTGGATAAACCATGATTTGGGGCCTCTGTCAGAGTTCCACATGCACTAAGGGTATAAAAGTTAGTTTGCGGACAAGTTATACATGCAGTTTGAAAAAGATCACCACAGATATGCCACGACTATCAGCAGTAGAACGTGAGAGGGCTATAGGTATGCTCCAGATGGGGTCTACACACGCCAACGTTGCAAGAACCTTCGGCTGCACCCGTGTTGCCGTCACTAGACTGCTGCAACGTTACAGGCAGACGGGCCAGACACAGGACAGACCAAGAAGTGGGAGACCGCGGGTACCAACACCAGCTGAAGACCGGCATTTGAGGACGTTACACCTGAGAAACCGTTTCCTGACGGTCACGTCATCAGCGTCGAATTCCCTTGATCACCGTGTCACTCGATACATGGTGGCTAGACGTCTTCGGGCAGCAGGTATCAGAGCCTACAGACCCTTCAAAGGACAGGTGTTGACCCCTGAACATAAACGTCACAGTCTGCGTTGGGCCCGGGTTGTTCGTCGTTGGCAGCGACTAGAGGAACAACGTGAAGGTTCTACAGTGGCCAGCACGTTCTCCAGACATGTCCCCGATCGAGCACATGTGGGATGCACTAGACAGAAGCATGCGGAAACGCCCTAACCCACCATAAAATAGACAGCAACTTACACAAGCCCTCAAAGGACGAATGGCGTCGCATACCACGTGACGTCCCTTTCTGGTGACAACATGTTTTCCATCGAGGGAAGTTTGTTTCTATAAAATATGGATTAAGAGAGCTTCCCAAGGATCTATCGTTGGACGGTGAAGTGATATGTGGTATAGTTTACACATTTGGAGGACGAAATGGTTTCGATTGATGTTTATCGAGCCAGAATCGGCAGTTTCACTCATCCGAAGGGAACACGACAAGTGACGTTGCACAAACAAGAGAGTGAGTACTCACCATTCGTGTCAGGGACAGATGTCCACTTCAGGCTGATAATTTGAACACTTCTCATCGCTATGCATCTTACCTCATCATATCTCGTGATAGATACACTTGAAAATGTCAATTTTGAACGATTTGTGCCGAAAGAAAACATTTACCTTTGTACATCATATGACGTCACTACTGTCAACTGTGACCCAGTTTTGGCTATGTATCATGCTTCATTTGCACGTGGGGTGTGCTTTCTTGGTGGTAACGTGCCGCCCGTGGGTGTTGTGAAACATATTCTGATGTGTGCATACGACATTGAAACCAACCCCGGCCCTCTTACTTTGAAAGAAGTGAGATTGCTTAATAGCTGAAATACGAGACGTCAAATCAGATTTATCATCACAGATCACCGCCTTGAAAACTGAGATGATATTAATCGGATGGAGATGTGATCAACTAGAGAAGTCAGTGTCAGATATCAAATCAGATATCGCCGCCTCCAAACATGAGTATGGCATCATGTATTCTGATCTTGGCGCCATAGATGAAAGGGTAAATGGATTTGATGAACGTTTGACCATGATAGACGCTGAGCTAGATAAGCTGGAATATTTATGGCCGTCGAGACAACGTCATCATACATGGTGTACCGGAAGCCGAAGGGGAGAAATCAATGGCATGCAAGGAAACTATTCTCAACCTATTCACAAAGTACCTAACGTTCAAAACGTGGCAACCAATTGACGTTATTAGAGCCCATCGCCTTGGGCGTAAGCGTGCCGATTCAACTAAGCCACGCCCGATAATTGTCAAGATGCAAATGTCAGATGACAAAGTTAGAGCGCTGAAAGCAAGGTCTGTGCTGAAGGAAAATGGATATGGTATCTCCAGTGATCTGACCACACGCCAACGTCAACAACTTCACGATCTGAAAGAAACTGGCCAGTTCAAGAACGGTGAACTTGTAGTGGTACCGAGTGAAATGCG